TTCCTCGGACGCGAGCACTTTCTCGTGCGACTTTTCGGCATTTCCTAGTGAATTCTTGTCGACTTTCCCGAATGCGACTTTCCTACAAAATAATGATAAAAGAGAAATAAAAAAACACAATCCACCACGACAACAAGAAAACACAATAATGAACGAAAATGAGTAAATGAACCAGGAAAAAACTAAAATAAAATAAAACGAACACCATTAAAACACATAAAAACACACAAAACAACAACAAAAACGTACAAAACAATAGTTACATATTTTTCTCATTTTTGTTTCTCAATTAATGGCTCCGCTAACATAAAATAAAAGTAATAATGGCAGATCAGTAGATGTTAATGATGAGAGTTTGAATTCTAACTAGATATAATACAGTAAATACGCGTCGATTTGTCCAAAGATTAAAGTAATTAAAATCTCTAAAGTGTAATTTTAGACTAAGCTTTAATTTGGACAGAATAGACTTTGAATGAATTTTGTATTGACTAGTCACGAAGCATATTTGACTGGTTTGATATTCTTTAACACGATTTTACACTCAATTTGCAAGTTTGAATCAGTCATTATTTTATACTACCACAATACATGTACTACACGGATACTTAAATATATTAATGGTTATACAATAGAAGTTTAAATAATACACATTTTTATTATGAAATTATGTATGATGCAACAACAATTAATAACTAACAAAGTGATACTTAATTCAAATTGTTATCGTATTATTACATTAAATTTACGAAAACATATATATTTTAATTATATTTTTAAAATTACATATGTATAAAATAGATATTATTTACAACTCTATATTTGATTCGTTATTTTTTTTTTCAAAAAAATAAATTTTATTGTTTTGTGATTATATTTATAATTACAGAGTCAGTGTCTCGCGTTTATTAATTTTTCATGTATTTTAAATTCATATAATTAATAATTTAGAATACGTAGAAATATATTATTTTCTAATTTTATGAAATATAACATTATTTTATTATATTTAATTATGATATTAATGTATATTTACCTATTTTAAATAACATACTAACATTCAATTTTTTATATAATCTATTTATATTTAGAAATAATATTTTATAATATTTCTTATAATTTATTTTATGTTATGTTATCCAGAATTTATGAAAAAAAAATAAAATAATTATTTTATGGTGTATTAGTGAATTAAATTTTTATTATTTTTATAAAATAATTTATAATGTTGTAATTTCTTTAGAAATTAGTTGATAATAATTTAATTATAAATATGGAAGAAATTATTTTTTGTTTTATATATGAAATATAGATGTCAAATAAAAGATCGTTAAAATATGAATATTTTCGTGGATCATATATAAAAAATAAAATACAAATAAAAAATTTATAAAGTTTTAAAAATTAAAAAAAAAATACATTTCTATAATAATTAATACATGAAGTAAATAAAAAAGGTAAGAGTAGTATATAATAACTTAAGAAAAAAGGAAAACTAAAATAGTTTATGGTATTTTTCAAACCTAATACTCAAAACCAAACCAAACATGTGTCAATTCGAAGCACCCATTTATGCCAAAACTTACAAAGCACATGAGTCTATCACTTAGGCTCAACAAATTAAAAAATTATATATAAGGGCGATATAAATTGGATATATATTAAAGCTTGGTTCATTGTATTAACATATCAATGAAATGCATTAAAAAACAAAATTACCATATTCAACAAAAAAAATTCAACGATAATATGCTAATGAACATCCCAATAGTATTACTTTCGTTGAAAAATTCCAACATAGATCAACATAAATATATTATGCTATAATTAAATTTTTCTTTAAATTTTAGTTGGTATTTAATGATTCAGTGATCATTTATTTATCAATATATTTTATTATATGTTTCATTGAGATATGCAATTTTCATTAAAATGTGACTGAAAATCCAATGTCGACCTATCATACTGAATATAAATTAATATTTTTCTTTGTGTTTGGTCGTAACCCTTTAAATATATTTTTATCCAAATATCAATTTATATCGTTTCATTTTTTGAAATAATGATCCAATAAATCAAATTTATAATTTTTTTTTATATTTTTGTATCAATTTTTTTTTTTTAAATTGAAAATTTTGATACATAATTTTTATTTTTTGTATATATATATTTTATTAGATTTTTATCAATTTTAGAGTATGTTTATATATTATTAATATAAATAATAATAAATTTAATATTTATTAAAACTAGTAAAATCTCTCCCTATATATTAATTCAAAACGTGTTGAGCCTAGGTGACAGATTTTCACGCTTCGGATGCTGACATGGCGAAAATCTATGGTTCGTGATGTTGTTTATATTATTTTTGCTCTAGAGTTAGGTTCGGTATTAGACATAAATAACATTACACATATATTCATTAACTTAAGACCCATGTTGTACATGAGTATTAGTACTAGTAAGTTGTAAAACCAAATGATTGATTGAACTACATTTAGTCATCTGGTATAACTATTGGTAGGATATTTAAAATATTGTTAGTATCTATAAAATTAAAAATTCAAACTAAAAAAAAAAAAAAAATTAATTAAGAATAAAAAATGGTGATAAAATAGGATTACCATTTTTTTTGTGAGGCTTGTTCCCTTGGGCAGTTGGTCGTGGGGTGGTACGGGCGAGGAGTGGAAGAGAACAAACTTATTTAGTTTTAGAGAGAGAAAATCAAGAGTGTGTGTGTGTGTGTGAGAGAGAGAGAGAGAGAGAGAGAGAGAGAGAGAGAGAGAGAGAGAGAGAGATAATGTATTTCCCCTCTATTCCCCTTCTTGCAGACAAAGGTGGTCGAGGAGAGCTTCAATCTCTGAGATCATCCTGAAAAGGGCTTCAAGAAAAATCAAGCACAATTTCTTCTGCGTTCGAAAACAACATTGTGATTATCAAGAAATTGCATAAAGAATCCTTTTTTTTTTGCCTGTTCCCATTTTGAGTCCCCAATTTCAGATTAATTACCCCCTTCAACCTTTGGGAACCTCTACATTTATTTATTTATTTATTTTTTGCTTCAAGACGAATTTTTTTACAGGGAGATTCATAAAGAATTCATTGTGAATCTTGATTGGTTTGCTCTCCTGTCTCTCTTCATTTTAGGAGGTGGGTCTTTTTTTATTTTCCCAAATTTTTCTTCTTTTGGGTCTCCCATTTGCATGTATTGACATTCAAGTCCTTTAGTTTCTTCCTTAATATGCTGCATTATTGCTTGTTCTCAAGTTTATTCTATTGTTGCCCTTTTTGCTGTTTGATTCTACAGAGGATTGCCAAATAAAGTTTTAATTTTTTTATTTTTCATTTCTCTTTATTGATTATTATGATTATTACATTTCTTGTCGTGCATTTTCAGCTAAAGGTTGAATCTTGGAGGATAATATAGTCCATTCAGCCTGGTTATGCAGTTGTTGAGAACAACAACGTTGTAGCTGTAATAACATCTGGTTGAAGATGAGGGACCCCAATTTTGTTAAGAGATTCATGTGGGCCAATGTTGTTTCTTTTACTTGCACCTTAGTTTTTGCCTAGTGGTAGCTAGAATATCGTGGGGGTGAGCTGAAAGAGCTTGTTGGGTTTGTGGTGGTTCTATAAGTGTTTTTCTCGTTTTTCCCCTTTTTTTTTTTCCGAGTAGTTCGATATTGCTCGGAGGTTAATCCGCATCACAAAGCTGGCGATTTTATTCGTTAAATTGTATTTAGTATTGGTTGTTGGCCCAAACTGCTTTCACCACTGCAACGAATGGGGAATAGATGGATCGTTATCGGGACTTCAATGCTTCTGATTATTGTTCTTGAAATTCATGGGTGCTGGTCGATCAATTCTGAAGGTAATTCAAGCGTATTTTGATGGAAGAAAGATGAAAGGGAAAATTTTTTGGCATTTGCTCTCTTAGTATTTGACTTGGTGAATAATGGGAATGTAGGATTGGCTTTGTTACAATTTCGAGCAAATGTGGCTTCTTTCTCGTCTGGAGCTTTAACCGATTGGCTGCCTGATGATTTTGACCCGTGCTTTTGGTCGGGCGTTAAATGCGTGGATAGTAAAGTGGTTATGCTGTGAGTTTTGTTATGAAACTATTTTTTCATTGGATTTATGGTTTTTTTTTCTTGTTATCTGATTCGTTTATGCTATTTTATGGGATTTTCTTCTTACTTCTTTTTTAATGGCAGGATTTGAATGATTCTAACTTTTGTGACTTGTACAGGAATCTCACTGGGCGCGGTTTGGAAGGAGCATTGGCACCAGATATTGGGAATCTCTCTCATTTAAGAGTTCTGTGAGTATTATTCAGCTTCATCTCTTTGCATGACTGTGAAAAATGTTCATTTGTCGGTTGTGATGAGAATTTTGCTGCAAAAATTATTCAATCGAAGACTCTTCTCAAGTTCATTTTAGATTTTTCATTTTTTTTTAAATATATGGTGCAATATGTCATTGCAGGGAGTTATGTTATGTTAACTCTCGACATTCTTGTTTTATTGAAAACTATAAACAATTTCATAAGCATCAATTCTATAGTTATTTTTGATTGATGTCTTTTTGTGGCCAGTGACCTATCCAAGAACCGTTTTTTCGGCCCGATACCTCCACAGTTGGGACAGCTAACAAAACTCGAAACGTTGGACTTGAGGGATAACGAATTCACTGGAAGAATCCCAGCAGATCTACGAGGGTTGAAATCTCTAAGACATTTGTAAGTAAAATATTTCTTCTGACATCATAGTACTGTTTGTGGCTTAATGGATTCGTTTTTTAGCTTTGGCGAAATATATATATCTTTTGTGTGTTTTTCTTAGGTTGCTCAGTAACAATAGATTTCAAGGGTGCATTCCTGTGGATATTAAGAAGCTTGCTTTGCTGAAGGATACTCAGTTTGATGATATACTAACAACTACTGCTAAAAATGGCTGCATGAATAGAAAATTCGGGCACTGGTATGTTTTTTCATGCTTCCATTTTCCTATTTATTTAACAGTCTTACGTGTCTTATTTCGAATCTAGACGCCTATGATATTGGTGATACTTTTCGATCAAAATGTAGTACATTTTGAAACATAGACAGGTTTTTTTTTTTTTTTT